TTAAAAAAAAAAATGCTAACGCACTTTAGCACAGAATTCAAAATAAAGATACCCTTATTACTTATCGAAACTGCACATACAATATATCCGATTAAAGCTGAGACTCCACATATTATTTAAGTATAGTATCTAAGCGATCCGATCTCGCAACAGGGGAAGCAAACACAGACATCACAACACGTACCTTTTACGGAGCTTTTACGGGAGATCGTCTCACCGTAGCTGTCAATCTGATCAAAAGACGTGTTCAATGGCATTAAAACGAGAAAGAAAAAACGCGGCTGAATCGGTTGATCCATAGGTTGATAATGTATCTGTGGTTTTGAAGCAATTGTTTATAATCCATAATTCCATTTTTATGTAAACATTGGAGCACAAAAGTTAGCTGCTAATGGTAGCTACCAGAGTGTATGCAGCTTCCGGTTTTGGTTACGCGTCACTCTCACTCCTTATTTATTCATGTGCTGGTGTGTGTAGAACTTCCCCTGCATGCACAGCAAACCACCAATCACAATCATTCTTGATCAGATCACAGCAGGCCCCGCCCCGCTAGTTTGCAGACCATCAAAAAACACTGGTAAAAAATGAGCGAGGCACAGGAGGACAATACCGGAGAGAATGAAGATTTACTTCCAAGAAGAAAAGCAACATCTGCCATCTGGAACTATTTTGGTCTATGGAAAAAACCTATGGATTAACCGATTCAGCCGCGTTTTTTCTTTCTCGTTTTAATGCCATTGAACACTTCTTTTGATCAGATTGACAGCTACGGTGAGACATCTCCCCTAGAAGCTACGTAAAGGTACGTGTTGTGATGTCTGTGTTTGCTTCGGATATCTTGTAAGTGCAGCTACGATAAGTAATAATAAGGGTACTTTTATCTTGAGTTCTGTGCTAAAGTGCGTTAGCATTTTTCGCTCCGGGGTCATTTAGATGCTTCTTATGAGACTTGTGTGTTGTTTTGGTAAAAATGGTTGGTATCGTCAATTAGCTGAGATTATTTCTGTTAATCTGGTATAACACATTAACAGGTTCTTAAATATTACGATCCCCTGAGACACTGTCGTGAAAAAAAAAGTAAAGTACCCGCCGGGACTTTGGGGGTTAACAGGTTAAAAAAAACGCAATATATACCGCGGGGGGGGGGGGGGGGGGGGGGGGAATCGCGGTGTCAGTTTTTTTCAATACCGTGCAGCCAGTGGCGGCGGGTCATTAGGGGCAGGTGGGGCACAGCCCCACCTTGTGTCAGAAGAAAGTATTACAAATAATGATTACAAAAAAATACTAAAAAATAAATAAAAAAACATATAAAATATATTTTAAGGTCATGTTTAATAATCTGATTCGTCTGTACATTTCTGTTTTAGTCTGTGTTCTTCTAATTAGTGTCTAGAGTGCCGTTTTGAGCTGTTTAGAGCCATGTGGGACAAAACCCGATCCTGCCCTTCCCTCTCACAGTCTAAGTGAACGGTGATTGTAAAAACTACACTGCGCATGCTCAGAGTATTTTTCTATTGAATGTGTGTGGCAAAAAAATAATGACCGTAGGGGCAGAGTGCTCCCATCCCCACCATACGTCATCTCACATAATTCAGAATTGATTGGCTGTAAGTACTCACGTGTGCAGTGCTGCGAAACGTCACGTGTAGTTTGAAGAGGAGACGAGAGAGCAGCATATAGCTAACATCACCAGCGATTAAAAGAAGTAAAAAACTGAAAGAAAATGAATGAAGTTGACCATTTACTGGAGCACACATTTGAGACACTTAGCCCACCATCCACCGGATTTCCAAATGGTCCAGACTGCGGGCAAAGTTAAACGTGGGTTTAACGCTGAGTGGTTTGCTAAAAAGAAATGGCTAACGGCGAGCATCCAGAAGAATTCCCTCTTTTGCTTTCCTTGCCTGCTTTTTGGTGAAGATCAAGGTACTTGGTCGAGGACAGGTTACAAGGACTTAAAGCATCTTTCGGAGAGGACAATGAAGCATGAGAGCAGCAACAGTCATTTGGAAAATGCCGTAAAATTGGGATTACTTGGAAGGGTAAATGACTGTTGCTGCTCAGATTGACAGCGCCTACAGACGTGGCATTGATTCTCATAATAGGAAGGTGGAAGAAAACAGGTACGTGCTTGGTCGGATCATCACCTGTATTAAACTGTGTGGGAAATGTGAGACAGCACTGCGGGGCCACAACGAGTCGGCGGACTCTCTGAATCCAGGGATATTCAGGTCAATTTTCGAGACAATGTGTGAGGCTTCAACGGCACTACGAAGCTCAGCTTGTTTTCAAAGGGACATCAAGCACCATACAGAATGAACTCTTGGACTGCATGTATGATGTGTACAGGGAGGAAATAGCCAAGCAAGTGGACAACACATCATTTGTTGCCGTTCAGGCCGACGAGACAACCGATGTCTCCTGTAAATTGCAAATGGTGATTGTGCTGCGATACATTATGCCTGACCTCACAGTTACAGAGCGTTTTTTGGAGTTTGTGGAAGTAAAGGACAAAACTGGTGTAGGTCTCTCTAACAGCATCAAGGCTGTTCTGGAACCCCTGAAGCTGAAAGAAAAGCTAATCGCTCAGACCTATGACGGGGCGGCCGTCATGAGCGGTAACGTGCGCGGGGTACAGACGGTGATGAAGGAGACGTACCCAAACGCTCAGTTTGTTCACCGCTACGCCCACCAACTGAACCTGACCCTGCAGCAACTGTGTTCAGCAAGGATGAGCATCCTGAAGGTGTTTTTTGCAGATCTAACTGCTTTTTCCACTTTTTTCTCCGGTGCTCCAAAACGTGTTGCAGCTCTTGCAGAGGCAACACAGAGACGCATCCCACGGCCACCGGCTGTGAGATGGAACTTTAAAAGCAGAACTGTGAACGCGGTTTGAGAGACCCGAGATGCACTACTTCAGTGTATGAAGCATATACGCGCACAACCAGGATGGGATGCGGTCACCATAAGTGAGGCATACGGCCTGTCAAAGAAACTGCGGGACCGAGCATTTATGCAGCTCCTGGAGTTTTTTTCGTTGCTTATGCCAGAAGTGGATGTTCTATACAACACTCTGCAAAAACGAAGCATCGATGCACCTGGGATCAACAGCGCGCTCTGCCGTTTCAAGGAAAATGTTCAGAAAATGAGGCAGAAAACTGATGCATTGGCCGCCACCGCTCATGATGGAACAGACGAGCCAGGCCGACGAGTCAGCAGCACAGCGCCGGTGATGAAGGAGGCTTGTGACACAGTCATCTCACAGGTGGAACAGAGGTTCTCACAGAGTGACCATTTGATCGCTGCAAAGCTCGTTGACAGCTCATTCTTCCCACAGCATGTCCTGTCATTTCCTACACCTGAGCTTGACTGCGCCGTGAAACTGTGGCCTGCGTTGGGAAACAAGGAGAAGTTGAAGTCTGAGCTGACCACGCTCTACCGCCACAGTGAGCTTCACACTGGAAACACTGCCCTGTCTCTGTTGAAATCCATTCACGAGAACAACTTGGAGGAAACGTTTGCTGAGACTGTTATTTTGGTCAAAATAATAGTGACAACTCCGATGACGACATCCGAGTCAGAGAGGAACTTTTCCACCCTCAAAAGGATAAAGACTTTCACTCGCAACACCATGGGACAGCCGCGACTTAACGCATTGGCCATGCTTTCAATTGAAAGCCAGTTGATCCAGCAACTACAGGACTTCATCCCCAAAGTGATAGACACATTCTGTCAGAGGAAGGACCGCCGTGCCGCTTTTCTTTCAAGTGAGCCTTCAGCTTTGGTAAGTTCATTTATGTCATATATTTTGTTGATCTTCTGTGTTTTGCCTCTGCTGGATCGATTGATATTGTGACCTCGATGATGAGTGTCTGTGTTTTCCTTATATTTACAGTCTATGGTGTTTTAATGCTAAAGCATTACGGTTGTTGTTATTGTTAAGAATTACTTTGTGATGGTGACCTTTACTCCATGTATGAAGGTGCATTACTATGATATCCCCACGCTGTGTACGTAAATGTATGCGCTCACAGTGTTGCTCCTGTGGTCTTCAGTATGTAATTTGACACTCCCCCTCTCTCTCTCCTCCCCCCCTCTCTCTGTCCCCCCTCTCTCTCTCTCTCTCTCTCTCTCTCCCCCGACCTCTTTCTGCCCCCCCAGTTTTGTACACCTAGAAACGCCACTGCGTGCAGCCCTAATGTGAATAATGTATTTGTTTTGTTTTCGATTTAATTATAAGAATATAGGATATTCATATATAAGCTTTTTGCCAAAGCCTTTTCAGTCACTAATTACTGTTGTATAAGTTTACATTGTGATATGTTTATGATTAATATTTGTATGATGACTGTTTAAAAATAAACAACAACAAAGTTTGCTTGCTAATTTAAGGAGTGTTGTCTTTGCAGGGACAATTCTCAAGTACTTTGTGCAAGCAGAGCCAGATGCTGCAGGTCCATCCTCCTCATCCTCCTCATCACCTCCTGAGCCACATGCAGGTCCATCCTCCTCATCAGCTCCTGAGCCACATGCAGGTCCATCCTCCTCATCACCTCCTGAGCCACAAGCAGGTCCATCCTCCTCATCACCTCCTGAGCCACAAGCAGGTCCATCCTCCTCATCACCTCCTGAGCCACATGCAGGTCCATCCTCCTCATCACCTCCTGAGCCACATGCAGGTCCATCCTCCTCATCACCTCCTGAGCCACATGCAGGTCCATCCTCCTCATCACCTCCTGAGCCACATGCAGGTCCATCCTCCTCATCACGTCCTGAGCCACATGCAGGTCCATCCTCCTCATCCTCCTCATCACCTCCTGAGCCACATGCAGGTCCATCCTCCTCATCCTCCTCATCACCTCCTGAACCACATGCAGGTCCATCCTTCTCATCACCTCCTGAGCCACAAGCAGGTCCATCCTTCTCATCATCTCCTGAGCCACATGCCACAGGTAAATTTGCTCCTCCTGCAGACTTACAAGCAGAGCAGCTAGCTTTTGGTCCACCAATAGATCCAGCTGATTGGCCATCAGTTCTACCCGATTCCTTTAGGACCGATTTAGTAGGTAGAGGGCCTTTTCAGGTTGATAAACAATTCACTTTTCCAAGAGAAGATGGTAGGAGCTTTCACCATCATTATTTCCACAGAACATTAGTGAATGGGGAAAAGATAAAGCGGACCTGGCTTATCTACTCAAGAAAAAACGATGCCGTTTACTGCTTTTGCTGCAAGTTATTTTCAAGGAAGGACTACAAATTAATGACAGAGGGACTATCAAACTGGAGCAGCATAGGCATGCTTCTGAAAAGTCACGAAAGTAGTCCAGAGCACACAACCCTCATGGCAACCTGGAAAGATTTTGAACAGCGTCTACAAACCGGAAAGACCATAGACCAAGCTGAAAGCACACTTTTAGAGGCTGAGAAGAGGCGCTGGAGAGATGTCCTAACCCGCCTGATCTCTATAATGCAATCTTTGGCTGAGAGAAATCTTGCATTGAGAGGTTCAGCGAACACATTACACCAGCAACATAATGGAAACTTCTTAAAAGAGGTGGAGCTTCTAGCTAAATTTGATCCTGTCATGAAGCAGCACATTGAGCGTGTGGAGAGTGGCCAGTTCAGTCATTCCAGCTATCTTGGAAATCTGATCCAAAATGAACTGATTGCTTCAATCAGTGGGAAAATGTTGGACACAATGGTGACTGAGATTAAACAGTCCAAATATTATTCAATCATTTTGGATTGTACCCCTGACGTAAGCCACCAAGAGCAGATGTCAGTCATCATAAGGACTGTCATAATGGACGAAGCGCCCACAATCAAGGAACACTTTCTAGGATTTCTTGTGGCTTCCGAAACAACAGGTCTTGGTTTGTCATCTTTGATTTTGAACAGGCTTAAGGAGCTTAATATTCCATTTGATGATTGCAGAGGTCAATCATACGATAATGGTGCCAACATGAAGGGGAGGAACAGAGGGGTTCAAGCAAGGCTGCTCCAGAAAAATCCACGTGCACTTTATGTTCCATGTGTGTCACATTCATTGAACTTGGTGGTGGCTGATGCAGCAAAAGCGTCGACAGATGCCATCAGCTACTTTGGTAATGTACAGAAACTGTACACCCTTTTCTCAGCAGCCCCACAAAGATGGGCAATCCTAAAGGAACATCTGACTATTGCACTTAAGTCTTGGAGTGACACACGGTGGGAGAGCCGTGTCAACAGCATAGAGGCAGTGCGGTACCAGGCCCCTAACATAAGGGAGGCATTGTTGGAGGTCAGGGACAAAGTGACAGATCCCCTGACCAAGGTTGAAGCACAGAGTTTGGCAGAAGAGGTTGGGTCATACCGCTTCCTCATTTGCACAGTGCTTTGGTATGACATTCTTCACCATGTGAACCATGCAGCTTGATGTGGCAGTTGACCTCCTTACAAAGGCAAACATGTCTCTGACTAGTTATAGAGACACTGGCTTTGCTGCAGCTCAGGCACACTGCTAAAGACATGTGTGAGGAAATGAATGTGGAGGCTGTGCTGAAAGAGAAGAGACTGAGAAGCACAAAAAAACACTTTGCCTATGAAGCCCCAGACGAGCCTATTGCAGATGCCATGAAGAGAAACGACATTCTTCAATGTAGTTGTTGACACGACTATTGAATCCTTAAAGGATAGATTTGAAACTCTGGGTGAAGTGAGAGCCAGATTTGGAGTGCTGCTCAACTTAAAAAAACTGGATGGTGTGGAATTGTGCAACCAGTGTGACAAGCTCTGCAGCACATTAAGCACTGGAGATGGAGGTGACATTGATGGAAAGGAGCTGGCTCTGGAAATTACCAATCTGCCAAGCCTGCCTACATGTGAAATGACTGCACTGGAGCTCCTCTCTTTCATCCACAAAAAAAACCTGAATGAACTGTATCCCAATCTGTGGATTGCCCTGCGAATCGTCTGCACTCTTCCTGTGACTGTGGCCTCAGCAGAGAGGAGCTTCTCAAAGCTGAAGCTCATCAAAACCTACCTGAGGTCATGCATGGGACAGGATCGCCTCACTGGTCTTGCCATAATCAGCATCAACCATGAGATTGGCAAGCAGCTGTCATATGATGACATTATTGATGACTTTGCTTCTAAAAAAGCAAGGAAGCAGAAGTTTTGAGGAGGAGGAAAAATGTAAAGTAAACATTTTTGAGAAAATGCTGCAACTCTTTCATTTATTGACATAGAGGAGCCTCATTGTTTACCTTTTTTAATATCATTTTCTGTAAATTTCAATTGCTTGGGTCAACTTGAGATGTTCAATTTGAATTTAAGAGAGGTTTTCGTTAATTTAGCCTGTTTTCCTCTTAAAGTGTATCAGATTAATGCATCTCCACAGATCATCTTAAAGGCTTTGTAATCCTCCCAATGTAGTTTGACAAAATAGGGCCCCCAAACAGCATCTTGCATAGGGCCCCCAAATAGCTAGAAACGGCCCTGATAAGGAGCCATCCTTGCCACAAAATCTTGTTATGACATTGCTCTCTGAGGCAGCCCTGACTAACTGTCTCACAATTGAATCATTTACATCTGTGTTTCCTTTCAAAATGTCCTTGACAGAATTATGCAGCAGTGGCTGGGACAGTTCACATATCTGTAGAAGCTGTTGTATGACTTCTTGTACAGAACTTTCTGGAATATGAAGGATGGTTTGCATCTTTAAAAAAAGAGCTTTTGTGCTCCAAATGTTTTCCTAGATCATGATGTTCTTCATCACTGGAATCCCCACTGCCAGTATCCTCTAAATCAGTCGTGTCATTTGGAGGCTCGTGTTCTTCTTGGGCCATTTCGTCATTTACACCAACAGGGACTATTTCTGGCTTAAACATCCTCCAATTGTCTGTTCTGTGCTCTTTACTTTTATGTGCATTAAATGTGGAGTACACATTAGTTGCGAAGTTGCAACCTTTATATGGACACTGTACTCTGTGACTGACTTTTAAATGTGTACTGCGCAGGTGATTGAAAAAAATTGCTTCTGTGCAGGGTGCAGCAAAATCACACACCTGACAGTGTAAGGTTACTTGGGCAGTTTCACATTGTTGTGCATACTGGGCTTTCTGGTGAATCGTACACAAGTGGACTTTAAGTGCATTGATTGAGTTAAATGTGCACAAACATTCTTGGTGTAAGCATGGAAACGGTACAGTTCGACTGTAGCTCCCATGTTGTAACCTGTAATGTTTCAATAGGTAGCCTCTTCTCTCAGATACAAACTCACAGTATTTGCACTTCTACTGCATCTTCACAAGAACCTGTAAAACAGAACATAAGAACATGTTTAGCTCAACTACTCACTTAGTAATATTAACTGTTATTCATTTAATTTGTAAACCATTAACTCAACTGCAAAACGTTAAGCAACCTCTGCTAATATCTAATATTGCTAAGTTCCTGTTGTAAATGTGACAAAACACTCCCGTGAAAAATACATTAACTCCACTGCAGAACTGTTGCGTGAGACATTATATTCAGCAGAAGTCTCCACGTTTGCAGTCAACCAAAGTAGCTTTAAGTATGCTAACGGACAGAAGAAACACACGACCACATCGCTCAGAGTTTGGCCTGGAGTACTGGGCCGTTTGTTGTAACTGCGGATGTTGATTAGCATCACCACGTTTCAGGCACATTCTGATGTCATACACATGAACTGAAACATGACTTTGTTATTATACAAATATGCTCAACACTCCCACTCAAAGACATGTTGATAACTCTCTACAGTGGTACACAGAATCCAAATAAACAAAACAAAAGCTTCTCGAGCAGTGTTCAATTTGTATACCTGCAATTTACATTACTCTCCAAACAAATACCCTTTGAACTTGTCAAATTGTGCCTTTGTCAACGGCTTGGTTAGGACATCAGCTACCATATCTGCAGTAGGACAATATGTAATAGATATCTTCCCCTCAGCATATGCAGATCGTACAAAATGGTATTTGATGTCTACATGCTTGCTTCTCTGTCTGGATACAGGGTTTTTTGATAGAGCTATTGCTCCCTGGTTATCCTCATATATCTTCACTGGTACATGTGGGCTATTACGGTCTACCCCTTTTAATAACTGTACAAGGTACATGCTCACTTGAGTAGTAGCCGCTAATGTCATGTACTCGGCCTCACAGGTCCTATCACTTTGATCGGCTGCCCAATCAGCATCACCGTATCCCTCAAGCTTTAGGCTTTCCTCACTTTTCTTGTAATGTAGCTCTTGGTCTATTGTACCCTTTAGATACCTCAACACCTGTTGTTTTGCTGCAGCCCAATGTTGTTGTTTTGGTTCTGCTAAGTGTTGTGATAGTTTACTCACAATCCAGCTCAGATCAGATCTAGTACATGTCATAATGTATATCAAGCTACCTACTATCTCTCTGTATCCTGTTGAATCGATAACTTCACCCTCAGTGTCAAAATGTAACTTTTGCTCGCATGGAGTTGACCTTGGTTTGCACTCTGACATGCCAAACCTTTCTAGCATCTTTGCTATGTGTCTCTTTTGGCTCATTTTGATCTCCCCCTCACTCTGTAAAGTCGATACCTAGGAAGTGTTTAAGTTCACCCAAATCTTTCATTTTAAACTTCCTCTTCAACATCTCTTTGACATCACTGAGTGAGCCGTTGTTATTGGCCGCTATAAGTAGGTCATCTACCCATATCAACAGAATAACTCTTTCTTTCTCAGACTCTTTTCTGTATGTATGATCAGCATCATTTTGCACAAACCCATTCTCTGTAAGATGATCATGCAGTAACTTGTTCCAGTTTCGCCCGGATTGCTTTAAACCATACAATGACTTGTTAAGTTTGCACACTAAGTGTTCCCCTGTTTTGGATTCTGCCTCAAAACCTTCGGGCTGTTCCATATATAACTCGCAGTCTATTGGTGCATGGAGATAAGCTGTCTTCACATCCATTTGGTGTAGGATAAGATCCTCCTGTATAGCCACCTGCATCAATGTACGTACAGAAGTCATATTTGCTGTCGGTGAAAAAGTTTCCTTGTAATCAATTCCCTCTACTTGACTATAGCCTTTAGCTACATATCTGGCTTTAAAAGTCTCAGATCCATCTGGGCTTTCCTTTACTGCATATACCCAACGACCTCCCACTGCTTGCTTGCCCTTTGGCAGTGTGGTCAGACTGAAGGTCTCATTCTCTGTTAGAGTTTATCTCCTCTTTCATTGCATCAGCCCACATTTTTGATTTCTTAGAGCCTACAGCCTGCATGTATGTTTTGGGTACGTCACAAGCAACCCTGTAGAAATAATCTACATTTTCACCTTCATCATTACAATCAGCCTTACACTGATACTCCATTAAATATTCTGGAGCGTTTCTTTGTCTAGTGGGATAGCGTCGTGCACTCTCTCCCTGTTCTCTTTTGCGGCTTTCACACCAGCGCTTTTCCCTTTCTAGCTCCGAGCTAGAGCTTTTCTGGTTCAGCTCCGGTTTCCATTTTCTGCTCCCGCTCTGTTCACACCGCCCAGCACCCGACTGGTGCTGCCGCTGCTGCGTCATGACGTCACCGTTTACATCGCTGATTTGCTCCCCAACGGCATTACGGCGCTCACAACAACGGGGAACTGCGTCGGGTCGATGATCGTGTTGCTTTGAATCACACGAAGCCAGAATAAATTGAATAACGACTTCTCCAACCTTATACTTTGCTCCAGAGTGCCGTGGTTCATTGTTTATTAATGTGTTTCTGCAGCATTTACCGACCGCTGCAGTGTTGGCTGCTTTTCCACGGGAGTTTATTCTCCCGTCAGCTCCCGGTTAGCTCACACTGCAGCGGCCGCTCTAAAGTATTCACTGTCCGACTCACACAAGCAGCTGATACATATCCCCAGTTCCCCTTTGCCTAAGTGAATGTGTGTCAGTCTGAAGTGACGCTGTTTGGCATCACAACGCTGTTATGAAAGTTTCTCTGGTATAAAATGGGTGATGTTAGCATAGCAACCGAAGCTAAACTGACTACTTGCTATTGCTATCCTATTGTGGCATAAACCGTTTTCTACAGGCACATTTTACCGGCGTATTTTCATTATGATTCTACTTGTGATAGTCGGACACGACAACCTGTGCAGCCCATGTATTGATTCCATCCGATAGCTGCTATAATACAAAACAACACGTCTGCCTCTCTCCACAATGATCAATAACAGATGGTCAAAGTAAGGTACAAATAAACAGAATCACACGAAGCCTGGTTAGTGTTGCCTGACTTTATAAAGTGTGTTTATAAGCACTACTGCTTGTAGGCAGGCATGACAGTCGACCCATGTTCAGGGGAGGTGGGTTTAGTTTCCTGCACGCCTCGACGTAAGCGACGCCACCTCTTAGCTCCGAAGCTCTTGCCTCGACCGACAATTTTTTTGGAGCTGGAAGTGAACCGGATTCCGGAGCTAAGAGCCGGCGCCGCTGCGGTGTGAACAGGAAAAACCGGCACTTTTCAGGCTCCAGCTCCGAGCCGGAGCTTAAAAAGCGCTGGTGTGAAAGGGGCATTTGAGTACCATCTGTCTGGATCTGACTAGCCTCAATATTCTCCTCACTAGGACTGACTGTACACCCACATTAGGCTCTCTCTGATTCTGGTTCACCATTTTTGTCCCTGCTGGTGCTGTGGGAATAGTTTCTCCATAAGTGTCAAAATCCATATTATGATTTGTCTGAGTCTGACTATCTGCACTACTCTTTGTGATACATTTTAGCAGCCTATGTTTCAGGACTTTCCCTGTCTCAGGATAAAATACTTGGAATGCTGGGCTTTATATATACAGGCTATGATATCTATGCGAGGAACCACCAGACCATCCTCCGATGAAATCCTCAGACACTCGCCCCGCCCCCTTACTTTTTATCGCTCACTGATTGGACGATGCAGTGCATGCACTGATCTCATGCTTCTTGACCATGAGAGCAGTATCCCAGCGGAGTGAAGAAAAAATAAATGAAACTCACGAGAGTCACTCCTCAGTTTATACCGTGTTTTGTTTCAATTCATGTATCATTTAGTTACAAATATGTGATATATCTGAACAACAAAGTGGTCAAAAATCATTTTATTCATTTATTGGAAACATTTTCATGATCGCTTTTTTCGTTTTATATTTTCATTTATTGTCATTTCCATTCAGTCAGTCATTAAGTGCTATTAAAATGTTAATGTGCTACATATCCAAATAAACACACACAGTGTGCAATCCAATTAATGTTAATCTAACTGGGTTTTGATAGATAATATATCTCTTTTTCTTCTCTCAATTATTTTATTTCTATTGTGCACTCTAATCAATATTAATCAAACTATTGTTCGTTTATACATTTTAAGAATGGCGTTTATCTTTTTGAGAATGAGTTCTTATTTGATTTTATTTATTGGGGTCTACAACAGATGATACAAATGTTTGTGTCAGTAAATGTGTGGCGGGGGTGTTTGTGAAAATAACGGGGACAGAGCTGCTGTCAGACGATCAGCTGTGCAGCGTCATCACAAACGGACGTCGCTTCACGTGACGCTCCGGAGGAAAGGACGTCCCATTGCTCTTAAAACTAATTTCCCTGCTTCTCGTGGTTTCCTTGCGTCCATCCATGCTTCCCTGGAGGGAGGGACTAAACACAGGGAAACGACGCAAGTGAGGGAAGCAAGGATTTAATTTAACCGACCTGAGACGGGGCCACGGCCTCGAAGATTTCACACCTTGGAGTCCACAAACACAGAGAAGGAAGTGTCCCAGTGTACCCACAACAATAAACCATCTGTGACCTAGGTTTGCCCGGTCATGGAATGGGAACAACAACATTATGGCTGAAGCAGCCTATCTCCTTAAAGGAGATAACAGACGTCAGGGTTGGTCATGCACGTCATATCTATGTCTAGGACAATTATTTCCCTAACAATGGCCATTTTCTACTGATCATAATTCCATTGTTGAGGTCTACTAGAATAGATTTACATTGTGCAATTTTCCAAACTCACATTGGTTTCTCATACAGCATCTCTGTATATGTATGTGTATTCTCTCTCTGTCCTAAACGGCTTGTTGGAGCTCCTGCTCCCCCCCTGTGAGCACAGTGGCCGCCTGCGAGAAAGCGAGACACACACCCACAGCCTCGCCGCGTCCCAGGCTGAAATCCCCAGAGCTGCAGCTGAGAAAAGATTGAGTGTGTTTAACGTAACGGCTCCGCGGACGTAACGTCACTATACCCAAATACGTCATATACCCGTGAAGAAAAAAATGGAAAAAGAGAAATCTCCAACGAGGCGTTCTGGGGCAGGTCTTTTTCTGTGTTAGAGTTTTACTCGCTACAGGGTGTACTTTGAGGGTTTGTGACTCTGCAGACCGTTACATGCTTAAAAAGCTACATAACACACAAGGGGACGGGTAATAACCAGAAAAGCATGACATGGGACCTTTAAGGCTTGTTCAGTGGCTGCCATACAGTACATATTTTCTGTAGGGACCTCCTGCTGTTTAGTTCATCCCCTGACATGAGTCCATACCTACATGGCACTGGTTCAGTCTCTTTGTCTCCAAAAGAAAGAAACCGAGCAACAAGAACAAATTGCCAACTGTTTCAAAGTCTTTCAAAGCCCCTTTAGCTGAAAGTGAGTCAGATTTAATTTGTCCTGCGTCAGGAGAAGATAACTCGTGGCAGTTTGGTATCCTTTTTCTTTGTGTTCATACAGCAAAGCCAAACTGTGAAAAATGTCTAAAATAAAAGAGGAAACAGTTGCACTTGCTTATAGTTTTTATTTAGCAACCTCAAAAGTGTTAAAACAGCCGACTTCTGCAGAAGAGGAAAACACGGGAAAGCTCCATTGTTTAGTCAGAAAAGTCATTTGAATTTCATTTGCGGTAACTAAACACAATTGATCTAATGTGATCAAGGAGTCAGCAACACAGTGAAATAGAGTCTTTCAGTTTCAGTGGTCTTCATCAGTGTGAGCGTGATTTTCAGCGGAAACATGTTGATTTAATCCACATATTCTTCCTCTCTAAAGCCGCTGCGCAAACACTGAATCCTCCACTGATAATAATGAATATTAGTATACAAAGAATAAGCTCTGTTTCGAGAAGATATTAACATTTTAGTGCACATGAGCACAATCGCACCTGCTGTACAGTGTATTTAATATATCAAATTATTTTACAAATTGAGTTGAATTGAAAAAAGGTTACAGAAGCATGTTATCAGCAGATCACATTAGGAAAGTCCAAAAAACAAACTGTACAGGATATAAAATCAGATGGCACAATAATGACTTTTTCTGCTGAAATCAAGCAAAGGGTTCTCTTGAGTGAAGTGGAGGTGATGAAGGGGGGTTACTTCCCGTGGTGGTAGAATCTCTGCCCGCCCTGGCTGTGGGGGAGGAAGCCGTGGCGAGGGGCGCCCTGGGGAGAGCTCTGGAACGAGGCCTGGGGGGGAGACAGGAAGGGGCATATTGTGTAACAGCTGATGAAGTAGAAACACATAATGACAGTATAGAAAAGTGGATATTAAGAGAATGAAGGGGTGGAGGAGTCATTTATCTAAAACAAGTCATTTCTAAGTAAGATTTAAAGGTAACCAGGCCCCTTTGTAAGACAATACATTACTATCAGTTTTCTCTCTGGTATGAATGCATGTTCCTCTTGATAAAAGACCCAGCTAAATGAAATGTACACAGCCATATTATGCTAATGTTCAGGTTCATATTTTTATTTTGTGTCTCTACTGTGACATGTTAACATGCGTTAGTGTTCAATAAGCTCATTCATTTTCTACTACTGCCTTTTGTCCCCCTCTGTCTGAAACCAGAGCCCAGTCCACTCTGATTAGTTCGCTAAACCAGCTTTGTGATGATTGGTCAAATTTTAATACAATAATAATAATTGTTTTTCCCACTAGAGGGAATTTTAGCCTTTGCAGACCATTTACATGCACGAAAACCTATGTAACACACAACAGAAAAGGGAGAACAAAGCATAACGTGGCTCATTTAAATAAGGCCTCAGGGTGGCACACGTGGAAAAGCTTCTGATAGTGTTAACAGAGAAAGTGATGAAAATGAATAAAAAAGAGTCATGTGTGTGTGTGGGCGTTTTGAGCCTTCACCTTTGCAGTGGGGATCTGGACCCCCATGGAGGGGGTGGGCAGGAGTCCAGGAGCTGACGGGTGCATGGTGGGTGGGTGCATGGGCCTCAGAGCGCCCTGTGAGAACATCAACGAGACAGAACAGAGGAGCAGAAGTGTAATCAGAGGAGGAAGAAAGGGTCTGAAGCACAGAGCAGGTCATGAAGTCTATGCTAGCTGCTTCAATTATGTCACACCAAACGTTGTATTTTGATGTTCAGTCTGATACTTACGAATAATAATACTATGATTTGAAGGAGTCAATTTGATATGTCATTTCTTACTGCATCGGTAAAGCCGGACTGTTGGTTGGCATGTTCCAGCTGCTTCTGGAGGGGGATCCCTGCTCCAGGAATGTACCCTGCATGAGAAACACCGTTTGTTATCCAACAATCATTTACATCAAATACAGACGCCAGGTTGATTACAATACGTTCTATTTATTGACTGTTATTTATAGTAATAAGTGCTGTAACCGAGGAACTGACCAGGCTGGGAGGTGAAGTGACTGTGGACGGGGTATCCAGTCTGCTGGTGGGGGAGGTACTGCATGGCCTGAAACGCAGACGCACCTGGGAGAACAAAAGCAACTTTTTCTCATAGCGATCATTACAGCATACTTTTATGGTTCAAATGATGGATCTGAACATCCAAAGTAAAGCTGAATAAAAGACTATTAAACTTCGGAATAAAAATAACCTGAGAATATCTTGCTTTTTAGAAAGATGCCGTGGCTGAATTTGGATACTCCCCTAATATAAGTACACTACGTTGTTCTTTAAAATCCCACAGGCAACTGTCCCCTCTCCGGAAGTGATGATCATTCATCTGCAATAATATTACAGACTGCTCAATAAACCAATGAATCTAACAGTGGTTGTTTTCGACAACAGTCTAGTGTTACGTTTAATAAATATGAAATAAAACCCACATGTATCACTTTTATTTGGTATGAAAAGCGTCCAAAATAGCACATGTGAGCAGAAAATGAGAAGCAGTGTGTATGTAATATACTACAGAAATTCAGTTGGCACACTATTTCTTACATTACCCATCATTTGGGCTCTCTGCCCCTTATAGACAGACACGTGTCCTTTACCTCTGATCTGGGAGCTGCTGGCGAAACTGACAGGTACTGATGGTCCAGCGGCGTAGGTGGAGGGGTGCTGGGCCTGAGACACCCCGTAGGGCTCGTGGACCCCCTGGCTCCCGCTGAACTGTCCGTGCTCTGCTGGACTAGAGCCGAAGCCGGGGGTCTGATAGTGACGAGCCTAACAGGAGGAAGAGCAGGGTTACACTGTGTTATAGGCAAGACTGGAGTCTGAATATCCTTCTCCTTAAGCACATTTAAAAAATAAAAAAAACATAAATCAGGGAAAATCTGAGACATTTCTAAATACAGAGGATTAAATGGGCATGGGCAATTTATCAATATTATATTGATATTGTGATATGAGACTCGTATCGTCTATGTGGAATATTGTCGTATAGTAAGTGTTGTCTTAACCTGTTTTTAAAATAAGGTATGTATGCAAGTATTTTTCTAAATTGATCAGATTTTCCATTATTTACCTTTCAACCCCTTAGCCAATTACAATATTCCTGATGTTTATCTGTAACATTCTCATGGTGTGAATATATGGTGAGCATCAATTGTCAACACTACAATATCGATGCCCTAAATAAAGTAGCTAAATATCACCAGCAATCTATAGATCAGACATTACTCTTATGGAGATATATCTTTGGCACGATATTTTAGATAGATACAAAACAAATATGTATGGATATTATTTTTGGAAAGACATCAGTTCTTTGAGTTAAACGCCCCTTTACTCACTGGAATCACAGCAGCAGGGAACAGCTGTTTACTGCGTTCTCCAAGAAGTGCACCAGGTCGACTGTGGCTGACTGGACTGCCTGAGAGAGGCAAAGAGAAGGATCAGTTGAGTTATACATACATTGTGAGAAAGAGAATTCTCCAGATATCCCAGAGGCATAGCCGTACCCTGAATGCTGAGAAGGTGCTGCCCTGAGTGCATGGGCAGGCTGGTCTGGTAGCTCGCCGATGTCAATGTTGTAATGTCACTGGAAAAGAACAAAAATGCAAATGAATACCAAAAATACTTCAGCTAAACGCTTAGTTTATTAACCGAATTCTGTCATACCGTTATGTACGAAAAGTACTGAAAAGCTGCGTCATCCTTACTACCTCTGCTCCTTTCTGCGCCTCTTTTCCTCTTCATGAAGCACTTTCTTCAGCTGTAAGAAGAGCTGGTGTTTCTCCTCCTGGAGTCCCTGCAGCTTCTCCCCCATCTTCATGACCTGAGAGCGAGTTTGGGGATCAGAGTACAAGTTAACAAGTTGCATATAATTGTTCCAAACCAAAATGCAAATGATATTTATCTCCTAACCTGTTCTTTTGTTTCCTCCAAAGACATCCTCTCCTCTATTTCTTTCGTCCTCTTCCTCTCCTCCTCTTCTTTCATCTTCTGCTCCATCATTTTGTCCACTTCTTCCTCCTCTAAACGGTCACACATGTTTCAGGGATGGTGAAAATACATTCAAATCCCTAAAATACCCAATTTACTGACTTCTAGACATGTTTGATGAATGTTGTTTCCAATGTCCTTATCCTTAAAGGGTAATAACTGTCTACATGTGAACACATTTAGTATTGCCCTGTGCTGAAATGGGTTTCTAATGTTAAGTGCACCAATTATGCGAACTTGCATTTAACATTATGTGTAGTCATTTCAATATATATTAGCTTATTGCTTTTATGGATTCCTAATATCCCAGAGTAAATATTTTAAGTTGTGAGGTCGCCTGCAGTATTGCAAAAAGACAGACATCAATAAAACTTATCACAAAGTATAATGTTATCATAATATTTTTGAGTGAGTAGAGAGATTTGCATATTTACGGGAATAGTGAGTAGATGCTGGGGAAGGAAAACAGACTAAATGGCAAATAATAAGTCAGGAAACACATTCATATTGACTAAAGTGAAATGTAATATATGCAGTGAGAAGTACAGGTTAGTACCTCTGCAGTTGTGACAGTGTTTGCGTGGTTAGTGTAGTGTTAAACACAGGGGCACGTACCTTGTCTCTTGCGCTCTCTCTCCCTCATGATGTGTTTGTGGAGGGCTCGGGCCATCGCGTTGGAAAGCTTCGGTCTCTCCAAAAGGGCAGGCATGGTGACAGGTAGAGGAGGGGCCAGCTGGTGTAGATACAATGTTCAGTTTTAGAGTAAAAGAGATTAAAACATATAATACATGCATGTAACATAGTCCATCATGTATGCTATCTATACATAAATGCAAACATCTTAAAGTTAAGCCCAACCTCACTCGATGTAATAAAGAACTTTTTTAATAAAATGTCATTACATAAAAGGAAAGAAACGCCCAGGAACTTTTCTTATTATTTGACTTGAATAGACCCTTACTCTGAATACTATGTTGTGAATGATTGCTTTTGTTATGTAATTTCTATTTTTGTAAACTGTTTATTATATGTTATCTATAATGTATTTGCACTTTCATTTTCAATGTCATTGACTGCAAATATGTGCCTTTAAGGTTTGTAAATTACTCTTGATTAATAAAGTTTAAGAGAAAAAAACATGTATGCTATCTATCACAGGAAATACCACTGGGGAAGGCCTTGCTGCTATTGGGCTAACAGCTAAGTTAGCAGTGGAAGCTTTGACTGCTAAACGACAGTATATCTATTTATAATGAATCCCCGAGCATGTATAGTTAAGTACGAACATATCTCTAGCGAATATGTGTAAAGCGGCATCAATTGTTTTATTTTCCAACATGCCCAAGAGCAGACTTTAATCTGAGTTAGCTAGCGGCTAAGCATGTATGGCTTATTTTCGGCGGAGTAATGAAATACAATACAAATCTTACTTTTGTTGCTTTTCTGGGTCGTTTGGTAAAAACCTAACCGTCGTGCGGTTTTAAATTGAATGCAAGTCCACTGTGATTGTGTCAGTTGAACAAACGTAATTCATCAAAAATATAAACAGTCGTAGAGGCGTTCAGCCTTCAGCCCGGGTGATTGCGCTTCCGGTGCCAAGCAACACATCCGGTTTGTCCCAACGAATTGCATTCTGGGTTTTGTAGTTTCTCCTTGTTTTCTCAGATCCCCAAGACACAATCTGGTCTAAATATTCAAAAATAAACACGTCAAAGACAGTCATCATCCTGTATACTACCATGGATACATACCTATGAAACTAAGTCTCATTTGAACCCCATTTACGTGTAATGGATCTTTTTCACAATAAAAACAAAACACAAAATTGGTGTAAAACATGGACTGTACATATAAACCTGAAAGACCGATATTGATATTACAATGTTATCAAATATAAAATATATATTGGTATCCCAAACAGATTTTCCTTTTAAATTACGTCATTTTTTCAAACACCACTTGAAAATAAATAAAGTTCGTCCCTGGGTGGGCTTGAACCACCAACCTTTCGGTTAACAGCCGAACGCGCTAACCAATTGCGCCACAGAGACGTTGTGAGACATATAAGGGCGTATTTTCTATTTGAAGTCTCTCCCAAAGAACATTATGTACAATCTTTGATCTCTATTCGTCTCATTTGCTGAAATATTTCGTTACATGCCCAAAAATATAATAACGTTCCCCTTCGTCACCCAGGGGTTCTGGCATTTAACACAAGTGATTTGTACATGGTTCTCTTACAGTTGTTTGTTTCTTTCCAAAGAACACTCGGTGAAGCAGAGGAATACGATTTGTTTTTCTCTGTTCATTTGTTTAGTATGCCGGTTAGACAATAACACATGACCATGATAACATCAGTAGGCTAGTTTACTTTAAAGCCATAAAGCCACCTATGATACATTAGCATAGGCTACGTAGCCAATTCGTAACTATTGCACCAGCACTTACAACGGCTTTGCATATTGGATTTGAACGTCTGTACTTTTCTTCTTGTTCCGAGTTTGTTCTTTATGGTTAATTGCACTTATAGTAAGTCCCATTGGGGTAAAAGTGTCAGGAAAATTAACTTTAATATAAACTGTATTAGATTTAGGACATACTGCATCCTGTTCATTTTACTAGTCATACTTTAGCCTCTGGATTTTACATGTAAATATTTGTTATATAGTTATTTCTCAATGTTGTAAGGCTCATCATTTTTTTTAGCAACCGTAATACGGGATAATAGGCAACTAATGCAAATACAGTAACAAAGGCTAAACTTTATCAAGATTCTGGGTTGTTCATGTTTACAGTGTTCTTCAGTCCATCAATCAACAACTTTGCACTAAGGTTCACACAAGAAAAACTATAGTTTTCTTTAAATTAATAACCCTGTAACCAACATGATAAATACAATAACTAATAAAGACAAGTAACTTTTAATCACATTTAATCATGGAGAGAAAGAGCCAGTAATGCAGCTGTATACAGAGTTCAAATCTATTTTTTTTCTTTAAAAAAAAAGGAGATAAACTTAAAAAAAGAGAAAATTGCACTCAGCTTTACAATACCTTTTAGAAATTAAGCCATCTAAAGAAACAATAACAACAACAATAATCATAGTAGCAGTCAAAATAGTCTTACCACCTAAAGCAGAGGATGATTGTTTAGTCTGAATTATATTACACTCCTTGCTAAGGTCAGATGTGGGGCGGCCCACTAAATTCCCAAAAACTTCAGTTTTTTTTAGGAAAATAACTGCTGCAAAACAGTTATCCTTTACTTTGCCCGAGACAAAATCACCTACCTTCACCTGGTAGATGCAATTAATTTCCTAACCTAAACTCAAAACACACTTTATATAATCCTGCAAGCACGCAGATTAGACAAACAATAATGTCAACAAGATCTGATTTGAACTCACTTACTATGTCTTTCTTCCCTTAACCCCGGGGTAACTATATTTACGGCTTAGTTCTAACATTACTTTGTTATTCCTGCTCAATTACGACACTAGAAAACAACTGGCCACGAGACCACTTCCCTCATGTCGCAAGTGAAAAGAAAAGTGGAGGCAAATACAATTCAGACTGCAGAATAATAGAGACATATTATGGGTGGGAGAGGGCTATTGTATGGGTAGTGAAAGTGCTTTGACATATTTTTACTCTGGGAACTCCAAGCTGCTCCTCGGCTGGATTTAATATTTAAATGAATGCATGGTGGAGGTCTCCGAAAGGTGGGTAGTGGTTGGGGGGGGATGGTAGTGGGATCAGATTTCCCTTTGGCTGCTCCCGTACACACTCTCATCACTGTAGGCAATGTAGAGGAAAAAGTCCTCTTCATGGTGCTCCTGAGAAATAGAAAGAAAACATAAGATCTCAATATGACACAATACATGGATAACGACATGGTCAGTGAGGTAGAAAATGAGTCTTGCCTGGTACAACAGTCCCATGGTAGCTGAGGTGGGTGGAATGACGTTGTTTACAAAGAAGAAGAGTGCGTCCTCGGCCCGCAAGTGGATTCTTTTTCGGATGAGGAAGTAAAACTGGCCCACTGTTAAAAAAAGAAGATTTTATTTATTGTCGTACATGTGTTTTATAGAAGTTGTCCAGTATCTTTGCACTTAAAAAATATATTTACCTGTCAGGTCGGAGGGGACAAGGTATTTCTTCTTGTCCAGATCTCCTATTCTGGCTTTGGGGGCTTTCTCCACAATTACCTGAACAAATAACCATAGCACATGTCCTCAGCGAATTAATCTAGTACATTTTCCACTGAAGAAACTCTATGTATGTAAATAAAAGGAGAAGTACTTCCACCTTTCAAAGAAAAGTGATCTGAAACCAACAACATTGGCTGATAAGCAAGGACGGAAATATTCTTTACCAAGATAAGGCGTTTAATTGTAACAGTATCTGGAGCCCAGTAATGTGTTAGTTAGTATATTTGTATGTGTACAAATCAGTCTTCTGATTTAATACTGTCGGCGCACAAAAATTAAACTACTTAAAGGTTCCTCTGTTTAGTCTAAAAATAGGAGTACTACCTGAATGCTACCTTCCCACACACCGTCAGTGACACGCCACGATTGGTTAATGGCCAGAAAGGAAACCAGCAACCATAATTAATAATAATAATAATCATTAACTATTACATGCATTTCTTCAAGAAAATATTTTGGTCCCAGGTTGTCAAATGTAAAAATCTTCAGATTATTTTGTCCTTTATGACCAACAAAATATATATCTTTGAGTTTTGAACTATTGATCAGACAAAACAAGGTAGGCATTACTTGAGAAAAATAATTGTAGTTCTACTCAATAATTAGACAGGATACACCATTTTTGTTACTTCCATGACTGATAAGAGCTCTAAAATGAAACTGGATTGCTCTAGAAAAAACACACCAAGCTCGTCATACATTAGAGAAACACCTTAATATACTGATATTATAGTTGGTTCAGTTTGAGTGGCAAAAAGCTAATATTTTTGGTGGACTAAATCACCTATAACGAAGCGCCAGGGCGACGTAAACAAGTATCCTGTGTGTTGACGCATACTATTTTAAGGTGCACTGCTGTTTCAACATACAGCCTAAAACGACACCCAGTTACGCGTTCAATCTACGATCAGTATCAACGCCTTACAGTGTATTACCCATACGACCATTATAACATCTGTTGGGTAATATTACTTATGGTTTTGTAATGTTATCTTTTAAATAAATACATACACGGAAGGATTACACAAGCTATCACTAGCTGGCCTGCTAGGTGCGGCCGCTGGTTCACCTCTATCTTTGTTAGCTGAGTGACTGTTGTTTACTAACGTGGCAGTCAACTATGGTGAAAGATAATCATATTTTGATGTGGGTACAACTTAACTACTGACTATATGACTATAGGAAGATTATATTTGTGTTCAAGAGATGTCATTAACAATTTACTAGCATTAGCATTGCAATATATATCGCGTAAGGGAGCTAACGTTAGCATACTTACAGGTACCCTGTCCGGATACTTCTTCCTTATTTTCTCGCCTTCGGACCGCCTTTTCTCAAAGGGGTGCTCTTCTTTGTACTGGAACTTCATTGTTGAAAGAGATGACGGACAACAAGTCAGTCACTCCTAAATCGCGTGATAACGGTTTGCTAAAGAGACTGCTCAAATCGCTGCCACTCTCGACAAAAACAAACGTTGCTAACTAGCTTAGAGTTCGTCTCAGCTGTTTTCCTGGTGCGACTGCCGCGGAGGGATACAATAACAACATGACGTTGCAGAGGGTCTACTTCGCAGGGTTTACTTCTCGCGTTCCCAGACCACGTAAACGTTAAGTTCTGAAAACGGGTATTCATTTAATTGGAATGTGTTCCCTTTAAATACATATTTAAAAATAAATATTTTGGTATGGGATGAAATTCTTCTTTGGAACTATTTTATTTTGGATCAACCGCTGCGGGTAGAGACAAGAGCAGGGCAGTGAAGAGGCAGCTGTCCTTGTCATATGACCGAGGCCCATGAGTTAGCAGCTAGAGCAGAGAAGAAACTGAAAAACATGTGATACACAACAGGGGTTTTGACTGTATAGATTATGTGTGCTTTAAATCTGGGCCAAAAGACATCCAGCAAGTCCTCAAAACATGGGAATTATTATAAACTGAAGGCATATTGACTAACTATCCGAGTAGGGTGACCAGGTCCCAACAAACCAAATGTGGGACAAGGAGTATGTTTGTGTGGGACACCCTCTCAACAGCCCCCCCCCCCCCCCCCCCCTCTGTTTAATTTGGTTTATTCAACAGCATCCAATAAACAATGACAGAAAGTGAGGTCAAAATGCAGTAATAATTTAGTATCTTAATAAAGAATAGTAACTAAGGCTAACCAAGGCAGCAGGCATTATTCACTTCAAGTGTTTAGAAATGCCATCTTCCTAATTCAACTAGTGTATTACCTGTAAAAGTAGGCACAACATAAATTAATAGATCAAATAAAACCATAAGTACAAATGAAAACGGTCCAGGAGGGAACAAAAACATAATAATACATAAAATAAAATAGCTTTCAGTTTTGTCCATCACAGTGTGTGGGCTATTTTGTCACCTAACCACTGGTGTCTTTAA